TGTTAACACTAAATAAAGTTGATTTGAAACAACTGGTGAGAAATGACAATTGTTTTGAGACCATTAATCCTTATTATTATTATAGTATTATTGACTTTTCTTACGACAAATAATAAATAATACATAAGATTTATTGCAAAACTTCTAATCGATTGCTTTGAAAACTTCATTATTCGTAGAATTTGGTCATAAAATTATTTAAGCATTTGTTCAGAGAATAACTGAACTATAATTATGTTATGAGCAAAATATATTGACAATTTGTTTAACATTAAAAAGTAACATTCATTAAATATTTTATTACATTAAAACTTTCCTAAATTTTTTTACATTTGAAAGAAAAAAATTATTATAATTTAAGAGAATAATAAATAGAGAAATAATGATTATAAATAATATAATATATTTTGTTTGACAACATAAAATGTATTTATTACAAAACAAACTAAATTTGTTTGTGTTTGTGAAAACTTGGTTTGAGTTCTTGGTTTAAAATCTTGTTTGCAAATAATGTCTGCAGTAATCGATTTAAAAGGAGTGGTTTTAAAAGTGGCCACAAATTTGGTAAAAATATTTTTAAAATTTGAATTAAAAAGATAAGTTGAAATTAATTACTTCGATAGAGTCCTCCGTATGTATTCTTATCATACAATCCAATGATTAATGAATCTGTTCTCACCGGAGGAATGGAAGTGAAATTATTTGAGTCTTTGTCCAAACATTTAAATTTCACTTATCGTATAATCAATTGCAACAGCGATTGGGGAGTATTTATATCAAAGAACAAGACGTGGACCGGACTTATCGGACAAATTGTCGCAAAAGTATATAAATGCACGTGTTTTTAGATTATGATCATGATGATTAATGAACATACAATATAAACCAATTGAATTAGCAAGCAGATATTGCCTTCTCTGGCCTCACAGTCACTGCCCAGCGCTCTGAATACGTATACTTCACTCATCCACATATCATAACCTCCGTCTCCTTCATTACACCTCCGCCTAAATCTTTGCCAAAAATAACTTTAGTTATCGAACCGTTTGAGGGCTTAGTTTGGGTCTGTATTGTAATGTCTATAATCCTAATGGTGTTCACCGAATACCTCATCACTAAAAAGTGGACACATCTCAAGAAGGTTGACATCAAATGGGCCATAATATCAGCGCTTCTCAAACAGTGTCTGGCATTTCGTTTACCAAATATTTTTTCGCTAAGAATTATGATATGCTTTTGGCTGTTGGCGTGTCTCGTGTTAACCGCCAGTTATAGCGGTTGTCTCTACTCTCTGATGGCAATCCCCTCCAGAGCTAAACCAATCAATACAATCAATGAATTAGCGGACGCACAACGACGTGGAGAAATACAGGTCACAGCTATCGGCGGCTCATCTTATTTCGACTCATTAAAGGTTTTCATAGTTTTTATTCAATTATAAAAATGATTTCTTAAAAGCATTTTATATAATAAACCGAAAGAATGCAAAGTTTGGAGTCTATAAAGAAATCGGAGAATTGATAAAACCGGTCGCAGACAAAGAGAAAGGGTTAGATATCGTGAGGATAGCCACCAAACCTCACGCCTATGTCTCGACCAGAGATCACTTATATTACGGTTTATTGAAATTCGGGCCAAAAGTGTTTCATTTACCGCCGCCGACACAGGAGTCCACTGTTTTTCTCGACGTTATGGCGATTGCAATGCAATGCGAGTTTCCACACAAACAAATCTTTAATAAATTGTGAGCTTTTGTTTCAAACAATCAATTATTTAAACAAACTTTTATGAAAATTTTCGTTAAACAGGATTTCGGATCTGAAAAAAGGAGGTTTTCTGGACTATTGGCGCTTAACTGAGAACCGAAAGCTTGCGGTCAATGGAGACCAGAAAGTGAATGATATCGACGACAAGAGAGAGCACGAGATACTAGTCGTGGATCAGTTGCAAAGCGCTTTCTATCTGATGGCAATGTCTTATTGTCTGGCATTCATAGGCCTATTAGTGGAGATAATCTTCCAGAAGAAGATCACCATAAGTGTGGATGTCGTCGATCGCTATTATTATTAAAATACATTTCATAACAATTGTTATAATCAGTTATCAATTAAAACTTATAGTTATTTTCTATGACTTTAATTATGACTCAAATTAAATGTTAAATCAAAGTAAAAAAAACTGTAAAACTTTAGACAAAAAAGTGATTAAAGTTTTGCAAATATTTTTTGTGCAAAACATTCAATGAATGACTGAATGTATGGAAAAAATGCACAGAAAATCGTGTCTAAGATTTGAATGCATTTAAAATTCGTAACGCTTTATACGAATGGCTCTGAAGTGTGAAATTAATCGCCAATTAATTGCGAAAATCGTTTCAATTTAGTTATCGACCGATTTGTGGATCAATTGCGGACACCATCTGAATGGCGGACAAGAAGTTGGAGGACACGATCAGCATCGGTGACGCGGATAACTATGAGCTGATCCGACGGTTAGGCAGCGGTCGATACGGAGAGGTGTTTGAGGCCAAACACGTGGCCAACAACAAGAGGTATGCCATCAAAGTCTTAAAGCCGGTCCGACCCGAGAAAGTGCTCCGAGAGGTGGATGTGTTGAGACGTCTTCAGAGCGGACCCAATATAATCACATTGAAGGACGTGATCGTCAACGACGGCACTCCAGCGCTGGTCTTCCCCTTTGTGTCCAACGAGACCCTCAAGACTGTGGCCATGGATTTGACCGAACAGGAGATCCCGTTATATCTGTACAAACTGTTGCGCGCCATCGACTTCTGCCACAAGAATGTCTGTGAAACTCATTTCAATCATTCATTGGGTGTTTAATAGTTGTTTTGTGGCGCAGGAAGTGATCCATCGCGACATCAAACCATCAAATGTGATGATCGATAGGACTATGAAGACGTTGCGACTCATCGACTGGGGTTTGGCCGACACTTACACCGACGGCCGTATATATCCGGTGACAGTGGCCTCGAGGTCTTCAACGCAGTCGATGATCGATAATGGCTTTGAATAATCATTTATTTGATCCATAGATTCTATAAACCGCCGGAACTGCTGTTGGGTTTCAGTAAATACGACTATTCATTGGACATGTGGTCGTTTGGATGCGTTGCCGCCGGACTCTTATTCAAAAGGGAGCCATTCTTTAACGGTTTGGATAATTCGGATCAATTGAAGAAAATTGTGTGCGTTTTGGGAACCGATTGTCTTAAAGAATACGTTCAAAAATATCGTTTACAAAATTTGAAGGGAATTAAGTATCTCTTAGACTCCGATCTTCAGCGCCGGCAATGGGAGGACTTCTTAATACACGGCTTAACCAGATTATCGACTCCCATATCAATTGATTTCATTGATAAGCTTCTTGTGTTTGACCACAAGTTTCGTTTGACAGCGGATGAGGCGCTCAGACATCCATTCTTCGCGTCACTCAGAAGTAATAAAATTGTTTAAATTGTAAATCAATCGACAATTTTGTGGTAAAACTTTTTTTGTTGTTACTATTGCTTAGGTTTTCTATAGAGTTATAAAAATATCTTATTTTGAGTTTTGTAATAATATTGTAAAAATAATATAATTAATTTGATTGTTGACTTTTTATATTTAATTAACTATTAATTTAAGTTATAATTCCTTAAATATGCTTTAAAATAATTTGATTTAATTAAATAATTACTATAAATTTAATGAAATAACTATGAACTTGTATTTAATCATAATTTAAATAATAAATACTAATATTTCTATGAATAGGATTTGACTGATTATTATCTGCTTTTCAAAATATGTTGTTAAATACATAACAATTGCTTTAAACAATAATTAATCACTTTGTTATTACCGATTGTTATGTAGTGTTTGCACTATTTTATACATTTTAATAGTGTTTGAATTTATGAAATGTTTCTAATTTCAATCTACAGTCGTCTTCAACCCCTTATTGACAAATTGATAAATTAATGAAATGCTAGTAATAAACAAACACAAGTGTCCGGGTCTTTGTAAATACACACCATTGAGGTAAACATGATTTTTACTATAAATAAAGTTGACTTGTTATCCATTGATTATAGAAATTCATTTACAATTAATATAAACAATAAATATAAGTAATTAAAAACTTGTGGTCAGAAATGAATAAAGTTTTTATTTTATTAGTTGTACTTGGGACAATCTCGCTGGTTTGGTGTAAGTTATACCTAATTATGAAAAATATGACCTAGAGTAATTAAGCTGATATATTGTGGTTTGTCAGGTGAATCGGGTAAGTGTTCGTGGTATGGGCCGGGATTTGATGGCAAAAGGACTGCTTGCGGACAGATCTTCCATCAATACGAGATGACCGCCGCTCACAAGACCCTCAAATGCGGTACAAAAGTTAGGGTGAATGCGAACGGCAGGAGTGTAGTGGTGACAGTGAACGACCGTGGGCCTTTTGTCGCCGGACGCATACTCGACCTGAGCAAAGGGGCCGCAGAAAAGCTCGGTATTATCAGCGCTGGTGTGGCCGCCTGTACTGTGACACCCATTTAAGCACTGCTCATGACTTGCAATAAAAAATATACTTTTAATTATAATTAAAA